ATTATTATTATTACTCCACATATAACTGTGGATCCAGACTGTGGATTAGTTAGCTGGGTGTGGGACTTCGGTAAATCTAAACATGTGGAGATGATAACATTAAATTATGCACAGCCATGTCCTGTTTTTTAAACAGATGGTTTTTTTTAATGTAAGAATAATAATTTTTGTATTGGCTAAAAAAAGAAGAGGCTTGCTAATTTTCACATGCAAAATCTTTGAGCTTCATTTCCACTGATCTGCTGGCAACAGGAGACCTGCTACTATGTAAACCACACTTTTCTTTTATTTATTTTTTTGGTCAATTTGTTAATATTCTTGATACATTTAACAGTATTTAAATCAAATTTTCTGCAGACATACAAATGTGTGAAAGACACATGAACAAAAACTAAAAGCATCAATTCACCTGCTGATGGATGCATATCGATCAGCTGTAACTGGGAACGTTACAGCTGCTAATTTGTGTTTTTAATTTTTTAAATATATTTTTCAGAGTGCCATGCTATGTGAACAATTAGGAAAATGAACAGTAAGATTAAATTGGAGCTCTTAAGTTAATGCAGCAAAATACTTTTTTTCTTTTACTGCTGGAATAGAAACAAAAAACATACCAAACAATAAAGAGTTAATGGTGACTGACTGTGCTGCTCCATAATGTCTTTTTTGATCAGTGAGCTTCTTTATGATGCCATCCAGGAGGTTGTCGGTTCTCATAAACTATGACAAGAAACAGGAAATAACATTAAAGGGCTGCGAACACTGTTATAGCACAATAATCTGAGGCGCTTGGAAAGAAAGGTGACTAAACCTCTTTAAGAGTCTTGATAACATCTCACCCTCAGCTGAGAAGCTTCTTTAGCTCTAAGAGCAACTGGTGGTGACTCCCAGATTTAAGTTCTGTTGGAAGTGTCCTTAAGAGGGTCGTTGACCCACTATTGATCATCTGCCCAATCACATGAGCCAAGGTGTGAAAATGGGTGTGGCTCATCATCGCCCAAGGTTTCAGGTGAACCCATTGTGAGACCTTGCCCACCGATCATGTGACTTACTGAAGTCAAATGA